GCCGCGATGAGAAGCCATCGCCTATGGACCAGACTCAGTCTATTCTGAGGAAGTTTACCGGCATTGAGGCGTTCGAGAAGGCTTGCCGGGATGTTGAACACCTGAGGCCAATGTACATGCACCACGTCCAGCTTTACTTTCTCGCTGACAAGTACACCATCGAAGATCTCAAGGAGATATGCCTGGCTAGGATCCGAAATTTCCTATCGGAGTGTCCCGGGACCTTCCAACTAAAGACCATACTTTTCGAATCCGTGCCTATCATCTATGCATGGACAGTCCATGGGGACTCATTACGGAGGCTTATCTCACAGTACTTCCTCGCCAACATGACTTGGATCGATACCGGTACGAGGTTCAAGGCACTACGAAGAAGCACGCCTGAATTCGGACTGGACTTGCTCGACGAGATTCCCCACAGCTACTGGAGAGAGTTGAGTGAGGGTCCTAACGAACTGGCAGCTGAGGGATGGGAAGACTAAGCTCAGCATCAAGCAACGAGGAGGACGAGGATTACATGAAACGGAGATTTGCTTACGGCCATTAAGAAAATCCCTGATGTTGCTTTTGAATTCATTTCTGGGTCTTGCTGAAGAATGCGGAGAGGGCTAGACGTAAATTACAGTCTTCATTTCGCATAAACTCAAGACCAGGGCACTGGAAACTGACAAAGTGGATTTCTAGCACCAATACAATATTTGGTATGCATTACTACAGCTGTTCCACGCGTGAAAATTGTATCACATGTGACTCAAAACATCAGAGTGTGGCCTTTGTCATCCTCCATGCTTAGATATTGACGACAAGATAACTTCATGGACTAACACAACTTGCTCTTCTACGCCAGCACCCATACATTCTGAAACGATTCTTGCCATAATTTTGCGCAAGATCCTTCAAACTTGGCTCTTTTCACTCTTGCCCCGAATCACTCTGCTCAGGTCTCCAACAGGAAGCTCCAAGGGGAAGTCGAGCGAAGCCAAGAGGATGGCGAAGATGAGCCACCAACCAGCGGCGCAAGTCACGAAGGCGCAAGCACCGGCAGCCTGAAAAGATGGTGTCAGTACTGTCTTACTTCTCAACACCTCTCACGCTCTCAAGACGTACCTGGAGCAATTTTGCGGCGTAAGCAGCATTGCTAGTATAATCCATGGCAAGGAACCAATACGCGGCCGTAATCAACCCGAAAGCAGCAACGAGCGTCAAGAAGATGAGGAAGAAGACGATGTTGGTGCGGAGCGAGCAGATGAGGAAGACAACGCAGATCATACCCATCGCGAGGGTGATGAAGCCTATTCATTGACACCGTGTCAGTTTGAATCCAAAGTGATATGGGAGAAGGGTAAGAGGTAGTCAGTGACTGACCGAAACTAGCATTGAAACCTTGCGTCGTCAGCCCCTCGGCCCCAGACGTCGCGTTCGCGGGAGCATATGACGAGAAGGCGGCAAAGGAAGGGTTCAGCGTCGCACCAAAGGTGAACCAGAACGAGGAGAAGGTAAGGAAGACGACGGAGGGGAAGGTGTTGCCGAGGACCCATTCGAGGAGGCCGCCTACGAACATGAGGAGACCGCCGAAGAAGAAGTATGAGCCGCTGTGAAGGAAGACGTGTGAGTTTGAGAGGCGTCTTGATGAGAAGGGAGTGTTGTGGGATGACTTACATGCCTGCCGCACCGCTTCCGCCTGCTCCTCTCCAACCCATCAAGTCACAAGCAAGAGGCGTCAATGAGATGAGGAATCCGACAATGGCGCTGTATAGGCGTTAGCCAACACGCCTTCATCAATCTTCATGGACCAAGGTATTAGATTATCTTACATCGGAGTCGGGTTACCAAAGGTCTTGCGCAGATCCCCCTTTACGTTATTCTGCGGCGACAGATACAGCTTCTCGAATAGCTCAGGCGACATGGAGATTGATCCGGCCGTCTTCATCCTCCTGAGCGCGTCGTCGCGGCTCACATGGGGCGCCATGTACTCGTCCTCTGGGTACTCGCCATTGTAGCCGCCGCCGTTAGGCACACGACGGTGGTGGCTGTCGACACGCTGGTGGGGGTCCGAGGGACGGCGGTGCTCGTTGTGGTGGGAGTGGGAGTTGACTTCGTGGATGTCTTCCTTGTTATCCATCGCGAAGGTGGTGCTTTGTTTCCGTATGTGGTGGTTGATTAGGTAGGTAGATGGGTATCAAAGGAATTGACTGAGCGATTGAGGAGAGGGATAATGATACAAACGGTACACTATGTTCTTTGGATGAACGGAGGAAATAAGAGACGACAAGAATGACAACCAAGACTGAACGCAGATGATGTTTCGAGAGGAGGGAACTGGGCCATTAGATGTATAAAGGTCCAGCCCGGCCGTAACGGGTCTAGTCCTCCACACACATCTCCTTTCAATCTCTCGCGTTCTCTCTCAGTGTCTCTCATCCACACCCTAAAGAGCGTTTCCAAGACGTAAAAAAGCAAAGACTGGGGGGGTTTAGCAACGGACCGGGGCCATCTTGGCACCTTGGGAGCCCTGCTGGCAGGACGGTTGAGTCGGATAGTCTTTTCCCATCATCACCACTCTCACACGCCCCCTCCCCTCCCCTCCCCCCAACCTTCCTGATCATCCACACGTCAAAACGGAATACCGGGGCTTGCGAGGACCACGACTGGGTTATTTAGTGGTAGATCTTTCTCAACGCCCGACGACCGACGACACAAACGCGCCCGTGAGGAGGCCAAGTGGGTAAGAAGGCAAGAGGCTCCTCCACATCGACCGAACCCACTTTGGGGCTAGGACGACCGGCAGACGGATACCCCAGGATTCGGGACAAGGGATGGATGGGTTGGCTGCAATCTAGAGGGTGGGCATAGTGCAGGATCTACGAGGATGATTCGTTGGAAGCTCGCTGCCGCAGGAAGCATGGTTCGAACGAGGTATCCGTACGGAGGTAGACCATTGGGGAGAATATCGGATTGGGGGGGACAGCACGTTTGGGGTTTTGAACATGGTTTTGGCAGAAAGCTGGGGGCAGAAGGCAAGATGCTTGTTTGCTTGCTTTCCATGGAGCGTTGCGTCCTGTCTTGGACCAACAACGTCTCTCTTTCTTTCCGTCTCCTTTCCCCAGGTGAGGGTGTGAAGGCACGCGGTATGGGAAGAGTCAACCCGTCAATGTCTCAGTTGAACACATTTGGGGCTGAGGAGAAGAGGAAACGGCAAGACCTGCCACGCCTGCCACGCCTGCCAGAGCTCCCGTCACATCACACTGGTGAGTCGTCAAGGGTTCGCGCGGATGCAGAACTGAGAGTTTGAGGTTTGGGGCGTTTCCACTGCTGGACGGATGGAGCATCCTCTGGGGCATGTATGTCTAAGGCTCTGACCGAGTCAATACCTTACCTTGCCCCAGTTGAGGCTTACTCGAACAATCTCGCGTGGAGGCAAGGGAGAACCACCGGCGGCGGCGCTTGTTGGAAGTTGGGGGTGGGAACGGAACGAGTTCGTCAATGGCAGGACCTGGGCAAAAGCTGGGGTAAGGATGCGGAACCGCAAATATCAACGGAGACCAACGAATCAACGGGCGGACGAATGAACGACATGGGGGAACGGAAGTTTTCTGACTCTGGTATGCAGAATAGCGTGGATGGGCGACAACCACACAACCTACTCCGGCATTGAGCGGCACATGGATGTAGTCTGGGAATAAGGAATGATAGCCGCGAGTCTCCTTGGCTTGACGGGAGCGAACAACAGTTTTATTTGACCGGTCTTGCAGTAGCGCCTGGCAATTACGTCCGTCGTTTGCTTTCCTCCCCCGGTCCAGTACTATCCATGATCTACCACGTCAAGAGTCAAGACTCAAGAGCGTACGTTAGTCGTTCAGTATTCCGAAAAGGGGAAGCTGGGCTTGGTTGGTTTGAGTTTTGGGGGAAGAGACCTATGATGGAGGACGAGGGGGGAAGGGAAGCTTCAGCTCGTGTGGGGCAGGCTAGAGGTATTGCGGGGAAAGCTCTACACCTCACCACACTTTGTCGCTATCTTACTATGGACTAGGGGGTGTGACGGGTCAATGGGATGGGGAGCGTCGGGGTAGCGGATGAGGCGTGTGCGTTCCATCATTGCATGTTCAGAGTTATTGCCTACTTCGTTGAGATGCCCCATAACTCACGGCGCGACGGAAAAGGACAGTAAGAATGAACAAAGGGGTTTGAGAAGTCAAGTTGGGAGTCGAGGAGAGATGGGATGCTGGACCTGAAAAGATGGGTTGAGTTGGTCTGAGGAGAAGACTGTTCAACACCCCGAGACCTGACAGTTGGACTTGGCTGGTGCTCCATGCAACCCGGCCAGACACAGAACTTGGCGTGGAGGCTTAGAGTCGATAAATGTACATGTCATGATGGAATCACTTGAGGCTCAATTGGGAGGCGTTGTCGGGGGGCAGAGAAGGAGGGGGAGGGCGGCAGATGCGGCGGCCCCGGCATTATACGCTACCCGTTACCCCAGACTTGGCAGCACAGCCCTCGACTCGATCTCGAGCCCAGTTGTGTCCGTACCATGAAGCAACCCAATATCCCAAGAGCGATCGTCCTGTCGATGCATCAGAAGGGTTGGAGATTTGAATTTGGACGGTTGATGGAGGGGTGGTGTGACCTTCAGCGAATGCCGGTCCAAACGATGCAGAAGATGCGCCCGTCACAACTTTAAAGACGGACCAGGACGGAGCTATCTCGGCACGAGATCGCCAACGCGGCATCTCTCACGATGGGGGATCCATGGAGGATGAACGAAGGGCTCGTTGGAGCGCAGAGTCTAGTACATGGATCAACAGAACCCAAGTGTAGTTTGCTTCCATAGTCTCGCATTGGGGTCGCTGGTGACCCTTTTGGGGTAGGAAACTAGTATTCATTCATCTCGTAACAGCATCTAATCTCAGGAACCCCTCGTTCAGCAGGCCCTCCATTCCCATACTCTAGAACGGTCCACGGTTTATATCACGAGTCAACCGGACAAACCTCCAGGCCGATCATAGCTTCCCCGCAGCCTTCATCGCCCTCTCACCGTCAACGAGAACACACCATCCTTCCCCGCCGCGGGTCCCGCCCCCGAACCCGGCAACGACGGCCTCGAAGCCGCCCTCGCCGCGCGCGTATTCGAGCACCGCGTCGTCAAAGGTGCCCGGCTGCAGCCAGACGGCAGGCACGCCCAGCTCTTTCGCCTCTTGCAGGACCTTGAGGGTCGCGGGCGGCGGGGTGATGATGGAGACGGCGGTGTCCTTGGGGTGAGGCAGGGCCGTGAGGTTGGGGAGGGCCGGATGGTCTTTCCCGAGGGCGTTGACGGTGCTTGCGGTCGGGTTTATGGGGGTGGCGGGGATGGAGTGGTTCAGGTACCAGGCGAAGACTACAAGGGATGTTAGTGACGGTTGAAGTTGGAGATCTCAGGAGAGAGATGTGAGTGAGAGTGAGAGTGTGAGTGAGGGTGAGAGTATTCAAGTGAGATGAGTGTGAGTGAGTGAATGAGTAAGTGGCAGCTCCTTGAGCTTAGACCAAGCTTGAGGCAAGTGTCCAGCGGGAATAAGCAGCGGGTGACACAACGTACTCTTATTGCCGAACTTGGCAGGGTTCGAGCTGGCACCCACCACCGCAATGAACTTTTGCGAAAAGAAAACACGGGCCGTAGCTTCGGTCGACATGTCGGGCACTAGTTTCGGGACGGGCCAAGTTGTGGAAAGTGTATTCGAGGTGCGGCAACGGGAGTTGTTGAAGAGCGAGGGGGACGGAGATGGAGGGGTTCCTCGGGCGGGCGACTCGGACCTTCAAATGGAGTTTCGAGGGGCCAGGCTGAGAGCTCCGACCTCCGAGCACGTCAGTGGGACCCTTGGGGGAGCGGCCGAGGCGTGCGGGCCACGGCTGATGACGCGACCTGCCACTGTAAGTCTGCCATGCATACCATGGAACCGCGGCTACTACCTGCCTTATTCTGGGATCTTAGTCAGGGCTTGGGTTTCGATATGTGAGATTGAGTCTGTGAGGCTTTCAAATGCCCTCGTGGCATTATACCATAGCAGGTTTTCTTTGACGGTCTTGTTCCGAATAGCCGTGGTCCCTGAATTGTCGGGAGGATCCCGCCCGAAAGAAGCATGGAAATAAAATGGAGGATGGCCGCCGTCTTTTCGGTCAAAGAAGACGGGTGCGACTACACGCATTACACATCATTGAGCCTTTATTGGACCATCAACCAACCCACCAATCTCGCCAGGGCTAGCAACTGCAACCTTGCAGCCTCACTATAACAGCTTACCTTCCTTACACGGCTAACGATGTCTGTTTTTGCGTACGTGGGCGAACTCATCTTGGCAGCAGAATTCCAAATGCCATCGGTCTCAAGCTGACATGTGATTGCAGACGTTCAACCTTTTCGGCCGCAGGCTATGCGGCCTTCCGCCCATCCTACCCTGCATCACTCTTCAGGACGGTGCTGGCGTATCACAACACTCAGTCGACAAGCGGCACGGCGCTGGACCTGGGCTGCGGTCACGGTCTCATCTCGCGAGAGCTCAGCCCGAGCTTCGCTCGCGTCATCGCCATTGACCCTAGTGCGGGCATGGTGAAGCAAGCAGCAGACTCAACCTCGGACTCAAAAATCACCTTTCGTCAGGCCAGCTCTGAGGATCTGTCATTCGTGGCTGACGCCTCGGTAGACCTTGTGGTGGCTGGCCAGGCAGCGCACTGGTTCAACTACGATAAAGTGTGGCCGGAGCTGGCGCGAGTGGTCAAAAGCGGCGGTACGCTGGCCTTTTGGGGGTACAAGGACAACATCCTCGTCGGATTCCCGGCTGTCAACGATATCTTTATGCACTTTTGCTACGGCGAAGGAGAGTCGTCACCCGGCAGCGGGGTGGAGACGATGGGGCCGTATTGGGAGAAGCCCGGGCGGCAGATCCTGCGGGATAACCTGGCGGCGGTTGTGCCCCCCGAGTCGGAGTGGGAGAAAGTCAAGCGCATCGTGTACGACCCGGACAGGAAGACCTCCCGGGCTGATGCGAATACGGAGGCGATGGAGCCGGAAGACCCGCGGGCGGCGTGGCAGCAACGTAAGACGATGAAGCTGGGCGAGTTTGAAGGTTATGTGCACACTTTCAGCGCGTACCGTGGGTGGAAAGACGCGCACCCGGAGCTGAAGAGCCGAGCGGAGGGCGGGGCGGAAGGGGACATTGCGGATCTGTTGTTCGATCGGTTGCTGGAAGCGGTGCCGGAGTGGAAAGCTGCGGGGGATAAGTGGCGGGATATTGAGGTTGAGGCCGTGTGGGGAACGACTATCATCCTGGCCAAGAGAAAGTGACGGCTTCCGGACTCTACAGAGAGAGGATGTGACGAGGTCGCAGGAGAGAGAGAGATCATGGAGGAATGCTCTGTTTGTACCGAAGCAGAAGTGGATTGACTCGCAGGTCGAGCCTGATATGGCAGTCTGAAGAGTCGAGACGAACCGCAACGTGCAAGTTTCGGGCGATTGAGAGTTTAGACGGACTGGGTAGTCGTGGTTCGGCACAATTCGAATTTAGTGCAAAGACATATCCGTATCCGTATATTGACGTAAGGTGTTGTAGATTGTGTCGGCTCACCGCAATGAAAGATGTCGATAGCGTTTGTGCAAGTCTCCAACCATGACAGAATATTGAAAGATGGAGTCGTGGACCATTGGGCAGGTGGACATTGGGACTGGGCAAAAAGGGCAAGGGGGCCAGCAACTCATCTGAGAGCCGTGATTGGCTGTGGTAACCCGGCAAGATTGGGAAAGAGGAGCCCCCGACGGTGGTTGCCCCGTCAGGTTTCAGGAGTTTTGGCCTTGTGTTGCAGAGGCGCACTGTGCTTAGGAGGAAGGTACCACCCACTTACAGTCACTTAGTCGTTCCTGCCGTACTCCGTACCTACCTACCTACCTAGACGGTAAGATAGGTAGACCGCCTCCAGGGGCCCTCGATCGATAGTTTTGGGTGCCGGTGCACACCGCTGCTGCCACCGCCAGCCCAAAACGCATGAATAACGGAGACTGGGAATGCCCATGGCCCATGACACTTCTAACCCGAGGCCAATTGGGTGCGTGTGCCCTCGATGCATTGGATAAAAATAATACTGAGCCTGAGGGTACATGACAGATAGCGGAAGGTGGTGACCGACTGACAGACTGGGGGAAGGAGACGAAGAAAAGGGAAAGTGCAAGCATAAAGTGTTTCGACTGGCAGACAGCAACCTCCAAGAAACATCATCACGACTCTTCTCTGTCTCTTTTTTCGTCCTGTTCGATATCCCAAGGCAAATAGCTTTTTGATCTGTTGTTTACTTTCTCTTCCCCCACGTACATACCACATACCACCTCACACAGACCAAAATGGTGAGTCTCTATCCCTCCAATCCGGGCCCCCTCCCCTCTGTTGCTTTTTTTTTTGTTGTGTTTTCCCCCCGCGGACGGCGGCACCCCTCCCACCATCAGCCGGAATGTAAACAAAGGAAATCGATCCAGCCATTCAGCGGCTTCCCTACCCCCCTCTCGAGTCTTGCGACCCCTTTCGACCCCTTTGATGGCCGACGAAAAACAGCCTTAGCGCCGGTTTGGTTCAGCGGCGAACCTTGCAGCAAAGGGCAACACACAGCAGCGCAGTACTACTAGCACCCGACGCTGGCAGCAGCAGTACCACCACCACCACCAGCGCAGCAGCAGCGCCATCCACCAGCCAACAGGAGCAACCCAAACAACGGATCGGACACCAATTGCCAGCGCAGCTAGCCAAGGAAAGAAGATCAGCGCCAATTTTCCCGGGCAAACTACTGGACCGTTCGACATACTGCTGCATCACGACATTCCTCATCCTGCAACCGTTCTTCTTTCCGATCTTCCACCTCTACATCCCATTCTTGATAATTCCACAACCACCCCGCGAAACGTCACTTGCTCTCTGCCACACACCGCGACCTTTCAATTTTGCGCAAAACACAACCACACAAACATATCACAATGTCTTCTAACCAGTACGACGCTCAGGCTTCTACCAACTACAAGGAGGCCTTCTCCCTGTTCGACAAGCGCGGTAACGGCCGTGTTGCCATCGACAGCTTGGGCGACCTCCTCCGCGCCTGCGGCCAGAACCCTACCCTGACCGAGATTCGCGACCTCGAGAAGAATGTCGGCGGCGACTGTGAGTTTTGTTCCTTGCGTCCCCCGCGTATCGAAAACCGATGTATGCCACCAGCATAGAGACACGATACTGATCAGCGATGTTTGCGCGAGCAGTCGACTTTGAGACCTTCCAGCGCATTCTCAACCGCCCCGGCGGCTTCCGCGACCCCGGTGAACCCGAGGAGTACTGCCGCGGTTTCCAGGTCTTTGACAAGGACATGACGGGCTTCATCGGCGTCGGCCAGCTCAAGTACATCCTGACCAACCTCGGCGAGAAGATGTCCGACGAGGAGGTCGACGAGCTTCTCAAGGCTGTTGACACCAGTTCTGGCCAGGTCAACTACACCGGTAAGCCACCACCTTTCAGCAAACTCGTTGCATAGCAAGCATCCAAGACTGTGTTTACTGATACCCGCGCAACAGAGCTTGTCCGAACCATTCTCGCCAACTAGATTCATCCAGCGAGCGAGCATTGTACGAACAGATCAGAGGAACGAGGCGGAGGCAGTTTACGAAAAGAGAAGAAAGAGATACTTGCATGGCTGGCACGATGGGAAATGGCGTTTGCTTTTGCGTTGCGATTGCGTTGTTCGCTATTGTAGGAAATTTGGGTATTCTGGAGTTCACCCCCGCCTCCTCAGAGGCGTTGCTCCGGACCACACGACACATGTACGGGACTGAATAGAACCGATACCAAAAGAAATAAATACCATGATACCAACATCATCGCGCGTGCGACCTTCCAGAAGATGGATGTTTATGAGGTGGTCAGGGGTTGTGTCTGTTTGGAAGCGTATGATGGGACGAAAGGACCAGACATCGCGATGCATCCACTGCCTCGTGTTTTTGAACCAAAAAGACTGAATGCAAAGCACAATTTCTTGCGGCTTTACGGCTATGCTACGGCCTCCGCGATCTAGTCATGTTGATCCATCGGCCTCAGCCATGATGTCGCACCAGGCCTTGGCCCGTCTGCCCAGCAACAAAGGACCCCGCACAATCTGGTAGGTGCAGTCGTCTTATGTAAGCTCGCTTTAGTCAGGCGATGTGGCCTGCATCCTGGACCTGCAGGATTACGGTACCGAATGGTTCCAGCCGGTAGAGATCCTTCAAGTTAATCGTCCCAACACTTGCCAAAGTCCTCTATCCTTTGATGTTAGAATTGCTGCAGAGTCCCTGAATGTACTAATGTTCTTATCAAAAACACATGCGAAGACTGGTATCAAATTGCGATAGTAGGTGCAGAACATGGCTCCTGTTGGTACTGGTACATCAGCGAGACCCCGCTTGCTTCAGCGTGGGGCGTTACAGCCCGGAACGTCGTAGCGCCGGGAGCTCGACGTGAGCTCCCCTGGCAGGCCGCGACTGCCCGCTCAGGAAATCTCCAACTGGAAGGTGAAAGAGAAGGGGACCCCGTCGCATTCCGTACTCGTCAGGATTAACGTTAACCTTCATCCACTTACATACACATACACAAATCATCCCGCAACTACCAGAAGCTTGCTGCAAGTCACCGCTCTCAGTCCACTCTTTGCGTAGCTACATGTACCTTCGCGCTTAACCTCGCTTGTCACCTACCAACTTACGGCATCGACACCTCCACCTGCATCCATCCGCGTCTGCCCCGTGTCCAAGACCTGGTCCTGCAGCTGCTCCTCCTCCTCCCCCTCCCCCGCCCCGACGCACCCAACTCACCGACTGATCGAACCGTGTTTCGTCCAGTAGCCGTGGCGTCCTCCAAGCGTCCCCTCCTTTCCCTTACCTTCTTCCTCATATTCCTCCTCACAGCTCTCATCCTGGCGGCCCCAAGAGCAGTCCCGAGAATTACTTCTCTCTTTGCACAGCTGCGCTTCAAACCAGTCCAGCTACCCCTCGTTGCCACTCCATCTCTATCGACATACCGGCCCTTGGTGACTGCCGCCATGACTGTCCCCGACAAGTACAAGTCGCCGCCCCAGGCGCCCCCCGTCTTCACCGGCACCAAGGAATCCATCGTCGGCGACTCCAAGAAGATTTGCGACCAGACTCGCGCCCTTCTCGACAAGCTCGTTGCCGACTACTCCGCCGACAAGGCCACCTTTGAGAATGTTATGAAGCCCATCGCCAAAGACGAGAACGAGAGCGGACTGTCGACCCGTATCCTTGGCTTCTACCAATATGTTTCGAGTGACGCCGCCCTGCGCGAGGCTTCGACCCAGGCCGATACCATCATGGACGAGTTCTCGATCGAGGTGAACATGAGGGAGGATGTCTACAAGCTCATTGAGGCTCTCCACCAGCGCAAAGACTCGGAGGGCCTGGACCCCGAGAGCTTGAGGTTGCTGGAGAAGGACTACAAGAACTACATCAAGATGGGTCTGGGTATCCCCGCTGGGCCCCAGCGTGACCGCTTCAAGGAGATCAAGAAGCGTCTCAGTCAAATCCAAATCGAGTTTACAAAGAACCTCAACGAGGAGAACGGCGGCATCTGGTTCACAAAGGAGGAGCTCGATGGTGTTTCAGATGACGTTCTTGATGGTCTCGAGAAGGGCACCGGCGAGAACGAGGGCAAGCTCAAGCTCTCCTTCAAGTACCCCGACCTCTTCCCGACTCTCAAGTTCGCCAAGAACCCCGAGACGAGACGCAAGGTCTTCATCCAGAACGAGAATAAGTGCAACCAAAACGTTCCTCTCTTCCAGGAGGCCATCATTCTCCGTGATGAGGCTGCCCGCATGCTCGGCTACCCCAACCACGCTGCCCTGCGCATTGAGGACAAGATGGCCAAGACCACCAAGACTGTGAACGACTTCTTGGGCGACCTTCGCTCTCGTCTGACTGCCGGCGGCGCCAAGGAAGTCGAGCACCTCCAGGAGCTCAAGAAGGCCGACACTGACGCCCGCGGCGTTGAGAACGACGGCAACTACTACCTGTGGGATCACAAGTTTTACGACCGATTGATGATTGAGAAGGAGTACAGTATCGACGAGAATAAGATCGCTGAGTACTTCCCCATCACCTCGACGATTGCTGGCATGCTCAAGATCTTCGAGGAGCTCCTGGGCTTCGTCTTTGTTGAGCTGAAGCCTGAGGACCGCAAGGCCTTGAGCCCCACTGGCAAGGGTGAGGATATCGCATGGCACGAGGATGTCATCATTTTCAGTGTCTGGGATGATGCTTCCGAGGGAGAAGGATTCGTTGGCTACCTGTACCTTGACCTACACCCTCGCCAGGGCAAGTACGGTCACGCCGCCAACTTCAATTTGCAGCCCGGCTACTTGCAAGCCAACGGCTCACGCAGATACCCCGCCACCGCTCTGGTCTGCAACTTCAGCAAGCCCACGCCCAAGAAGCCCTCACTTCTCAAGCACGACGAGGTCGTCACCCTCTTCCACGAGCTTGGACATGGTATCCACGACCTTGCCGGCCGCTGCACATACAGCCGGTTCCACGGCACCAGCACCGTCAGAGACTTCGTCGAGGCACCATCGCAGATGTTGGAGAACTGGTGCTGGACCCCTAGTGTTATCAAGGCGCTGTCCCAACACTACGAGACGGGCGAGAAGATTCCCGATGACCTCATCGAGAAGCAAATCTCCACCAAGCACGTCAACGCTGCTCTATTCAACCTCCGCCAGCTTCACTTCGGTACCTTTGACATGACTGTCCATACCCCTGAGAGCCACGAGGCCATCAAGAAGTTGGACTTGTCAGCAACCTACAACGAGCTTCGCGGCCAGATCGCTGGTATCAAGGGCCCAGAAGCTCAGGGAGAGAAGAGGTATGAAACCCCATTAGATTCCAAAGTACACAATACTAACAGATACAGCACCTGGGGCAACGGACAAGCCTGCTTCGGTCATTTGATTGGCGGCTACGATGCCGGCTACTACGGCTATCTCTCATCCGAGGTCTACTCGACCGACATGTTCTACTCCGTCTTCAAGGCCGATCCCATGAACGGCAAGGAGGGCCGCCGCTACAGACACACTGTCTTGGAGAAGGGCGGAAGCCAGGAGGAGATGTTGACCCTGGAGCAGTTCCTTGGACGCAAGCCTAGCACCGAAGCCTTCTACAAGGAGTTGGGCATCCCTCAGTAAGGGCCCTGATCGTAATGCCACGATAACGAGACGACGCCAGAATTGTATCTAATAGCACCAGATCGCGACTGTGATCACCCCGAGGACGCTCGCCTCCTGAAATAAAATACCTTTTCAAGATTCTGAAGCCACAAGCTAGCGTGATGACCTTTCCTCAATGATGTTAGCCTCCCATTCTCGTACCTTCCTAGTCAGTTCAAACAAAAGTATGTGTAAGCAAGGTGGGAAACTGCCTGTAAATGGCTTCTTAAAGGACAGTTTGGCCTCATTACAGCCTAGGAGTGAGAGGTCAGATATCGTGTCTGATGCGATGTATCAGTTGCCACACAAGATGAGGTAGGTAGGCACATTTCTTTGCCTTTGGTACTGAATACATCACAGGTTAGTAGGCGGCTTCGTGTCTCGAGTGAATAGGTACTCACTCACAAATATTCAGAGAATTCACTTAGTCACCCCTTTCAACGAGAAAAACGCGTTCAACATGCCCAAGGTGCTCCTTCCGTTGCTGCTAAGAATTGAGCTGGCACCAGAAGAGGAAGGCAAGGAGGGTCGAGTCACATCCTTCCGATTCCAGACCTTCCGGGTCTACCAGTTCTTCCTCTACACCTGCTTCGCGTTCTAATCAATCCCACTCTCAGGGCCTGTCCCTCATCTCCAATAGACCTTCCCCATCTCACTCTCTCTTTTTTTCTCACCCTGAGATTCCTCACCACCTGAACAAGCTGGTCATCGCGACCAAGCTCCTCACGATGGCTAAGAAGAAAGCCAATTACGAGTACGCAGACCCAAAATGCCACTTCATTTCCCCTTCGCTCAGTAGTGAGATATTTGCTAACATGATACAGGATCACCAAGTCTCGCATCATCAAGTTCATCGTCGGTTGGGACAAGGTCGAACACAACGTTCATGAGGCAGTCATCGGTCGCCTCTCCAAGCCACTCCGAGCCCTCGTTACCAATGGAATGAGAGAGTCTGTGGAGGGCGTTGTTGTCTGGGCTGACGTCGACTCCGACATTTTCGCTATCTTGATGGAGTTCGCCTACACCAAGAAGCTCATCATCGCCGATGAGAAGGAGGAGAGAGTGCGCCAGTTCGAAAAGGCTGAGTCGCTTCAAGATCGCCTAATCTACTACGCATGGCACTCGGAGAATGGAGAGAGCATACCAGGGGACCTTGATCCGGCTTGGCATCGCGTCATGCATGACTGGCACTATGACGATTTGCAAATTATACACATTCACTCGAGAGAGTACTTCATGTTGCATGCTCGAGTCTACATCTTGGGCGATCAGTACATCATTCACAGTCTGATGGATGCATGCATCAAGAAGTTACGTCGTGTGATTGTTCGCCATCCATTTACCGACGAATTCGCGCAGATCATCTGCGACCTCATCGTCTTCATCTGGCCAAAAACATTGCCAAATGGCCAATTTCGAGAGGTACTCATTGACTACCTGCGCATTGAGTTCGACAGAGCCTTCGAATTTCCCTGCATCATCAAAGTCTCGGAAGAAGTTCCTGAGATCTATACTGAGGTTCTCAATCGCTCACCCAAAGTTCAAGAGGACCTGGTTGAGTGTGATCGTTTCATGGCCATGCATTTAGAGCCTAGAAACCGCAAGCCGCTATATCAAAAACCCAGTTCATCGCTTAGAGATTCCGCATCTGCTCAGCCAGAGAGAGAACAGAGAAAACGCTTGCTGCGATTCTAGTGAGGGGACGGCGCAAAGGATAATGCATGTGGTCTTTGAGGCCAGGAAACTTGCTGGATGAGGATCCTACCGGAGGGCGGTCGCGACTTCACTACAGAGAGGGTCTAGCACGATGCGAACTGCTATTTGGGTCTACAACTTGGGTATCATTGCATCACGATACTAGCTCTCTTGCGACGCCTTGAGTCGTCTTCTAGTAATCAGAGGAAGAATGCTTTTCTCTACTGGAAAGAACCCAAAGAGACAGACCGTCCATCAAAGAATGTTCACACTTTTCATCATCCGCCAGTGCAGTGTGTGTGTCACGAGTTATGGCACGCAGCAATGGGCATACGGAGTGTAGTAAAAGTGGCTTAATTATTAAAGTAGAAATAGACAAAAGGAAAAGGTCTATATACACGATGTCTAAGATAGATACGTGATTTAGTACGTAACGGGCACTTCGTAAGGTACGATTACTATCCCTATTACGTAATATACCCCCTAATTACTACTGCTAGGGAGCTATTATACTTAAGATAGAATCTCTAAATACTCTTATAAAGGCCTAATTTAGTTAAATATAAACAAAGGAAAAATAAGCGCAAGGGATACGTATTTTTTAAACTGCGTTTATTATAAATATATCCCTTTATTTAAAATAAATAAAATCCTAACTTAGAATAGCGCGTATTATACTACTTTTAGTATATAAATTATTAAGGGCGAGGCTACTTAGCTACCTTACGTATATCTAAATTCTCGTAATATTACTTAGTTATTATTTTTTTTTTTTTTAACCTCTCGTAATTATTATAAGTACCCCTATTTACTACGCGCGCGCGCCTATACTATTAAATCGTTTATTAATTTTATTTTAAATATAAATATTTAATATATTTAGAAATAATAATAAGTTTTATATAATTTTTATAATACTTCTTATATACGTATTATATAGTTTTTTAAAAGTTTAGATAAGTAATAATATTAACGAGCCCCTCTAAGTCGTCTCCCCCCCCCGTAACCTCTTACCTACTTATTAAGGCCCGGCTACTAAGCTCTTTTTCCCTAGTTAAGAGAATATTGAGGCTATTTATTAAGATACTAAGGACTTTATTAAGTTCGAGGCTCTTTTTAGCGGCCGTAATAAGGGCGATAATAAGGTAAATAATAGTAATAAGAGCTCTAACGAGCTTTTACCTATCCCCCCCTCGGAGTTTAAGAATAAAAATAAGACTAGTTTAGATAATAAGCCCTCTAAAAAGGGTATATTATATACTTATTATTTTAGGAGTTTATATTTAATATTATTCTAAGGTTTAAAAAACGTAAGGCTAGCTCTTTTTAGAAGGGTAGTAAAAAGTAAAAAAGAATACCGAGAGGTAAAAGTACCCCCCGTAATAAGTATAGTTTTTTTTATTATTCTAGGCTTATTTAACGTATACTTAGTCCTTAAAAAGCTTAAGGGAGAGGCTCCTAAAGAACGGGAGATCTAGTACTTACCCTATTTTAAAGTAGCCCTTTAGTATACCGATCCTAAGGATAATAGTCGTTATTTTATAAAAAATAGTAGCTAGTATACGCGCTATTTTAATAGCCGTTTGGCTAAGGGGTATATTAATATACTAGTTATTTTATAGCTAATAACCTAGGCCCTTACCAAGGCTATTATAAATAGCGCTCCCTCTCTTATAAGTATATTATCCTTTTTTATTATTAAGAAGCGTACTTTTAATTATAGTTTTAGTAAGATATTACTAAGCTCCGTAGTATCGTTTACTAAATAAATAAAAACTAAAAGCTATATAAGAACTATATTAGCTTTTATATAGAGGACTTTTTTAACCTATACCCCCGGTCCTCTTTTATATTTATCGTAATTATTTATAACTAACCTCTTATTACGCCGCCCGCTTTTATATTTTAAGTCGTTAACTTAATAGTCGTTCTAGCTCCCGCGCCCCCCGCTACCCCCGCTACTCTTAGTTTTATAAACTTCGAAATACGTAAAATACGTTTCTTAGTACGCGTACTAACCCTCCTCCTTAATAACGCTATACTCCTAATAATCGCATATTTCGTAAACTAGGAGTTTAAATAGTAAGCATAAGCCCAGGTCTTATTTTTATATACGTATACCCTATAAAATAAGGTTATTTTAGGAATTTAGGCCTTCGGGCTATAAGAGGTTTTTATTTTATTTATTTTAGGCCTCTAGGCCGTACTCTAGGTTCCGTCTATCGTTTACTTTCGGGTATTAAGTTTTTTTAAGCGTAGCCTAAATTAATTATTTTTAACTATTTTAGCTATTTATAATAGCTTCTTATATATCGTAGAAGTTAAGAAGTATATAGAAATATTCGAACTTAGCTCGTAAAAGGTTTTTAATAAGTCTATTTATTAATATATTTTCTATTAATATATAAGTAACCTCGAAGCTACCTCTAGCGTACTCTTATCTTAGCTATATATTTTATATATTAATATAATAAAGTTAAGTAGCTATTCTTTTTCCTTTCCCCATAATAAGTCGAATCGTTTACTAATTATTATAGTTAACTAACTATACTTTTCCTAGGTTAAGGGTAATATCTTTAAAAAAGCGCTTTAGAGCTATAGTCTCTTTTACGGTTTCCTTAAGGTAAAGAAGCTTAGCTTCGGTAGTTAACGTCGTAACCGTTACTTAGCGTACTAATTTTTATTAAATTAGGCTACTAAAAAGGAATATTATATATCCTTAAGATAATCGTTGTATTACCTTATTATTTACGAAGCTAGTATCTCTAGCTAGAAGTAATAATTACGTACTTAATATACTACCGTAATAAAGCGTAAGATATCTCGTTATATAAAGATATTAGATATAGTAGTTAATTACTTTAATATAAGTTACGTTTAGGTTAGTTAAGAACCATAATAATTATAAGTAAGTAAAAGCAACGTCTAGTCTAATTATAATAGCTATATAAAGTATACTCCCAACCTTTTCTTAGTAGCTCTTTATTTTTTCTTTTATTACCTACCCCTCGTTTAGTTTAAACTCTTCTTAAAGAAGAGGGGTAACTAAATATAATAAATCTATAAGGTCGAAGCGCTTAGTAACTCGCTCGATATATACGTTATAAATAAGGTAAACTTTATAAGTAATATAGTTTTATAAAATCCGTACTTTAAGAAAGTAATTAATCGGTCTATTCTCTTTAAGGTTAATATATTTTTTTATACTATTAACGATCCCCTAAGCCGCTTTTTAGTCGTCTCGATAGTATAAAATAATAAAGTCGTTAACGTAAAACACTAGTATTACCTTCCTATTTACGGTTTAGTAAATATAGATCTCCTCGTAACTATATATTATATTTATATTACGAAGTATAGAAATAAAAGTTTAGAACTAAAGAATTAGTAAGTTTTAGAGGCTATATAGAGCGCGTTAGAGCTTACTTATTTTATTAATAACTTTATATCCCTCTAGGAGTTTAATAATTATTAGCTTCTCGCTCTTAAAAAGCGCGTTAAGGAATACGTTAATAGTATTATACTAGTCTATTTTAAGGTCGAATTAAGTAGTTATTATTATTATAAGCCTAAAGGCTTTTATAATAAGCGTCGAAGTATACGTATTTTATAAAGGGTTAAGTAGTTATATATCCCCCCTTATATATATACGTACCTTTACCTTACTAACCTCGTTATTAACGTCGTATTTATAAATATATACTTATTTTAATAAAAATAAGATCCTTTATTTAGGATTACGGTTAACCTCTTTTTATATACTAATATCCCTTAGCTTTTTTATTTCTATATTTATAGTATCCTTAAGTAGCTTTTATAGTTATAGTAGGAGATATTTAATATTACTAAACTTTTTTAATAAGTTTTAGAAATTAACTTTAATAAGTCGTAGTTTCTAAACTCCTCCGGAGCGCTCTAAGTAAGTCCTATAAACTACTCCTTTTACTATTTAATAGAGTATTATATATCTTATATTACTTTCCTCTATAGCTTTTTATTAATTAAGTATAAAAATAGAGAAAAAGTAGTCCTAGAGACGGTTATAGTAATTACTGTCCCTTATATTTAAATATAAGAGCGTTACGAAAATATTACTATCGAAGTATTATAAAGGTCTACGGGCCCGGTTTAAATATCTAGGACCTAACGGAGCTTTACTTAGTACTTAATAAAGCGGTTTTTATAAACTCTATTCTTATATAATAGTAAAAGTTTATTATAAGGGTTCCTTATTAACGTCGACTTTAGCGTTAAGAATTACTTTTTTATAATTAGTACCTCGTTTACTGCGTACTTTAGTATTTTATTAAGAGCTATTAAGAATTAAAAGCTCGAGAACCTTTATAGTATATATAAGCGCTTATAAAGAGGATTATAGACTGCGCAGAGCCGTTTATAACCTAATTATTATATCCCCTTTTTTACCCCTACCCCTAAGCTTATATAAAGGGGTTATCTTAGGGGTTAATAATAATAATAAAACTATATTAGCCTCTTTAGCCTTATTAACCGCACCTTAGAGTACGTTTATTAGTTACTTAGCGTCTTAAATAGTTAAAAATTTAATAATAATACTATCCTTAATTATAGAGTTATTTTAAGTATTAGTATTTCTAAAGTCTAAATTTACTTCCCTGAGTACTCGAACTAGCTTATTGTTAATATTAAAAAGTTCTTATATCTCTTAAATTACTAAATCTATTTACTCGCCTACAATAGCTTACTCCTCGTATACGGAATTATAAAAAACTTTTTTATTAAACTTAATATTCTTTATAATAAACACCTACTTAAGCGCGGGCACCCAGACCCTATATAAGTTATATATTTTTAGTATATATCTAATTAAGTATCCTATATACCCGCGGGGAAGTACTTTAAACTCTTTTTAATATATACCCCTCTTACGATCCCTATAAAGAGGGTATACTTAGTAGCTATATACGTAGAGACTACCGAGATATGGGGTAACCGGTTTAGAATCCCGTACTTAGTAACCC